AAAGAATATTAGTTTTTATATGAAACGATGCAGTATTAAACGCTCTTTCTAACCAATATAGATTGAGCTTGAAACATTGCCTAAAAGTCGTATATTTTGAGCTAATACTAGACAACTATGAACCCAATGAAACTTCAATACTTTTTTGCAGGTATTCTCCCTCAAAATAGCTTATAACCCTCACAGCTTGACTTGAAATTATTACCAAAAGAATCACCACATTTTTCCACATATGATAGGCGACAAAGTGACTGAAAATATCCTATGGGCCAAATCGGCTTCTTATGCGCCCCTGTCCTTTCTAATTTTCAGTTGGCTCTATCCTTAAGTTAAACCAATTCTTTTTTTGGAGAAAAAGAAAGAACATGCCCATCGCAGTGTTTGCATGATTTACCTCTTATACATTCAGGACCTCCATAAGATAAGCCCTAGAGTCTAAATAATAAAAAATGTCATGTGAAACGGTTCACAATCAGGTAGTCAACATTCTCAATGTGTTTGTTCAGGTATGTATGATAAAGACCGAAGAAAAAAACATCGAAGCAAAAAATGTCGAAAAATAAATGTCGAAAAATAAATGTCGAAGAAAAAAATGTCGAAAAAAAATTGTCGACGGAAAAACGGTCGAAAAAAAAATGTCGAAACAAAAAATGTCGATTGAAAAAAATGTCGAAACACGTGGTTCTTACTGTTCTGCATCAGAAAGATGAGACATTTATTTTAGTCAACAGGATGAAGTATAGATATGTAAATAATTAAAATTACTTATAAAAAAGATTAACAAACAAAGTTTGACAGCTCAGTTTTAATAAAATGTTTATTTTTTCTTCGTTACCAAAAATGATAAACTATTTAATAAGTCCTCGATGCTGATTTGTTTGTTTTTGTATCGTTCATTCAACGTATCAATTCGCTTTTGAATAACATCAGCTGAAGTTGATTTAGGTCGACGTGAAGCACCTATATTGACTTGGACGTATAAGTGTTGAAATCGACTTTCTTCATTCAAAAGACACCGAATAAATGACCATATATTTGAATGTGCTCGTTCGACACGTCGATTAAGTCTATTGTGAAAGCCTAAACATATGGGTCGTACGCTACATTTAGAAAAGAAAGCCTATGTATACCTTCACAATTGTTATTTGTCCGATATTGACAACCATGTACATTCCACAATTTTAATGGTAAATCATTCATCCAATAGCTATCAAAATACATGAATAATTGACGAAGTTCTTCTTTTACTTTTGTACTTGATGTTGAACGTAAATTGTAATATGAATTTTCAACTTCTTCAATTGGTAAAAGGGCAATTGCCATTAATTTACGACAACAATATCTTATTTCTTCATCTTGTGAATACGCTGTACTTAAGCCCAGACTTTGAATACGTCTATATATAGCTTGTGTATAATGAAAATAACAGCCTTGGTGTACAGCCTGAGGAAACTAAAAGAAATAGACATGCCTTTATGAAGTTGATTATTTGTTTTTTTACTTCAGCAGGTATTATTGAAACCAAACTACTTTCAAAATCACTAATAATTCGTTCAGGTTTAAAAATGCGGTTCATAGATGCAGCCATATCTTTTAATACTTGAAATAGTTGTTGATACGTTGATTTCTTTCGATCTGGTAAAAGACAAAAAATACAAGGAAAACCTGTAAAACAGAAACAGAAGATAGAATGATTAAAAAATAAATTTCTTATTACATACAACATTCAAATTTTAAAGCATGGAGAGTAAACAATTGATCAAAAAAAGGTGGTGTTGCTGAAAAAGTACCGTCCATTAATATAGACGAGCTATCAAATAAAACTTCAAGTTGCTTTGGACTACTAAAGAGCAACATTCTTTTTCTACGAGAAATTAATGTGTCGCAGAACAAAAATTTTTCGCCTTTCGATGTGATTTGATAAGAATCGGGAATATCAAATGTAGCAGAACCAGGAAGAATAGGTGTTAATTTTCGCCTTGCACGATTCAATGCTGGTTCTAGAAAAAAAAACGATATGAATCATGAGAAGTTTCAAAAAGAGTAATATTACGTATATCACGAGCCAGTGGTACACTTGCAAGAAGTTCTGTTGAAAATGCAGCTTTTGAAACTTCTTCTTCATAGATTTTTGATATAGGTGCTGTTTCTTTAATGACGCGATCTTTGACAATATTTCGAAATTGTTTGACTTGAAAATCTTCTGGTTCAAGTAGGTGATTGTGTTCACCGCTTGATTTGAGGAAATTATTATTTAGATCAGTATGAACGTGTGCTTTACAATTCTTAATTTTACAAATCCAATACATTTTAGATGATGTTTGTTTATTGAGTTTGTACATAAATCCGTCTTGCATTAATAGACGATAACCTTTGTTAGAAGCAAGAAAGGATATAGCACTTGAACTTGAAGTAATAGACATTATATAATCAACCAAATATAGAAGTGACGAAAGTGCTGGAATATATCTGAATCGCTGAAATCAAATGGTATATACAGAAGAATAGAAAACAATGCTAAAAGTGTCTTTTGTTAAAATGCATTGTTTCTTCTCTTTTGGTTGTTCTAGAATGTTTATTTACAAAATGATATATTGGATAGAACTATTAACTAATAGTGGAAGCTTTAAATGGAAATATAGAACGAAAGAAAATCAATATTGTTTCATGAGGACATCTTGAATTTTTCGACATATTTCCCTTCGACATTTTTTCCTTCGACATTTCTTCCCTTCGGCATTTCTCTCCTTCGACGAAAATTACTTCGACATTTTTTTTTCGACATTTTTTGCTTCGACGTGTTTTTCTTCGACATTTTTTTTTCGACATTTTTTTTTCGACATTTTTTGCTTCGACATTTTTTTCTTCGGCTTTTTTCCATCCAATCAATTTAAATTGCGACGAGAGCCTAGAATGAAGTAGCTGATATAGGTGAACTTACCTGTTCGATATCCACGTGCAGCTGACATCGTATCAATTGCTGACAAATGTATTCCTATAATGAAAACGATCAAAAACTTTCAACGAGAACACTATGGCCACAACTCCTGATCAAGTACCGGGTGTGTGTTTGGTACTTGTCAATTTAAAATAAGGCTCTCCTATATTCTATATGATCAACAAGTAATATTCACCTTCAGATAATAAAATTTGAGATTGTTGGAAATGATCAAAATAGCAGATTATCGATAGTTTATCTATAATGAAAGAAACT